CCAACCGCGACACTACAAGTTAGCACGATAGCATGGACTGTGCCACTAAGCCATGGGAGAACGCAGTCGCGGAGCTATACACGGAAAATCACAGCGCCGCAGAGAACGATACCAGTGTTTAACCTGAGCTTTCCGAGCCACGGAGGACAGTACTACATTAGAACTAGATTGCACGGACGGCGGACCAGCCACAAAATAAACGGGGAGGTGGGCGCTTGGGGAGACCACGACTGAACACTGTGGAGCACGATGCCATTGTAGAACACGATAACACGGACAACGCAGATACACTGCGTAGCACAATACCATAGACAGCATTACGACACCGTGATTGCACGATAGCGTGATACCGCGGTCGATGACACTTCATCAGGAGATCACGATGCACGGGCGACGGAACCACACGACTGCATGGAGGCACAAAGCACGGAATAGCACCCTTTGGTTAGAGTACCGGTGATGGGAGGCCAACGGCCACGAATGCCTATGTATCACGAAAGCGGTACAGCCCGCGTAAATGTTTGAGAACAGGGAATAGTTAGGAGCCACGAAAGAGGTCGTACTAAAGTGGATGAGCTCAAAAGAGAGCGCATATCCACAAACAGCGTGGACCACGGGTGAATAGAGAGCCACGAAATCAATATGAACACGGAAGAGCACAGGCCATTGAAGAACACGACATTCAACCTGTAGTACGGGGTAACGGAAACGTATCAAACCACGATATTGTACAAAGCCACATGAGATTACGGACAGTTAAGTGGTTGACTACACGAAGCCACGACGTACTAGGTTTAACGACGCCCACAAAACACGCGATACCAAGAATCACTAAAGTTGCGGCCACCTCATCTCCAACAAACCATGCCACTCCGCCGCGTAGCGGCGGCGAACGGCTAGTCCTAAAGTATCAAGGCTAGCACGATGTCCGTCCGTCCGTCACACGAAACGCTCCGATTTTTTAGCCTTCCCATTGGCTGCCGAGCGGAGCGAAGGCGGCCTCAATTGGTTGAAACGAAATTATGTACCTTACATCAGTAAATTCATGTGGTTCACAGAGCACATATGGGGATTTGCACAAGACTATCCATGATCCGATGGCGGCATCGTTTAAATACTACGAATTTTTAATTTGTACTATTTTAATATGGGATGTTGCTATTAATATTTGAGTGTTTCTTATTCTCAAATGAAATAGCCCCTAAAGAACTACAAGGTGGTTAGCGTACACGTAGGAATGCGTGTTTTCGAGGCCATACTATTAATATACGTAATACAGTCGTGCACCTCCAATTCGGCAGGGCGGACCATATCAACAGTGCCAGGGCATAAGTGCTCAACATAAAGCAAAAAACAAACGCAAATCCAGTGCACTGATATTTTATTTGTTAATTCAGTACCAAATATACGCCAATCTTCTGCGTAATCTTGGCGTCAGACGCGCGAATCGCGGGCGCGCAACAGCGCTTCCGGTCGCGATAGGCATCCGGCAAGGCGGCAACGTCCGCCGACCGCTTAAGAATACTCTGGACGGTAGTGCGCTTTACTGCTTGGGGGGTCTTAAAGCGCTCCGTTGCCCAACGCGCAAGTTCGGAGTGAGAGCATGCAGAATCTGACTTGTGCTTCTCGCACAAAGACTGCTTTTGTGCTAGAGTTAGGGACATGTAGGAGGAAGGGCGATGTCCCATTTTCTTTGGCGGTAAAAATCAAAGTGTGTGTTTGTATTAAAAAGAAATCGTCCGATCCAAAATTTAAAATCAGATCGACGCGGCGTGTAATCCCTCCGCGAGGAGGGGAAAACCGTTGAGGTTAATTGCAAGGGTGTTGATGGGCAAAGGTAATTGCGCATCCGATTCGCGTAATCATAAAATCTGGCAGGGTATCGACTGATACCGGTGCCGAATTGGAGGTGCACGACTGTACTATATTCTTAATAGTTTCTGCAAGAAGCAATGACTAAAAGAATAACTACAATTGTTTTTATTGTAGAAATATTAAGAATATTCTGAATGTGAGGTAACCGACTGAGCTGCCAAGTGTAGTCTGCAGCCATCACACTTTGATTGATGGAGAGATGTCGACTGACTAATGGCTTCGTGCTCGCTGCAAGAGCAGAAGTACATGTACAACAGAAGCTGGCCGTAAGAGCAACGCTGTGCTAATAAACGTTGTCGCTTGAGAGATAGGTTTAGATTGAGCAAAAAGAACTTATATGTGCTGATGACAATTACTACCGTAACGTAACTTGCCAGTTGAGTGCCTGATTTTGGGCATGTTCAAAAGGTGCATCTATCGAAAAAGGCACCAATTGCTGCTTGAATTGGGTCTTTGGACATCAAAAAAGGAAAACCAACGCATCTAATACTTATTTTTGCGTTTTTTTACAAACGAACATGTGAGGTGCAATGGTTAGTCAAAAGTGAGGATGGAACTTGAGGCTATCAGTTTTGTGCACGGTTCCGGCTATCGACTAAAGCTCAGCATCTCCTTAATTATAAGACGCCCTACAAAGTCCACGGTGCGTCGTGAGCGTTTGCATTTTGTGCGAGGTGCTGTTGGCACCTGTAAAATGCTGCTGTGTATTTCTTCTTGAATTTCACGCTTTCGCTTGAGCCATGCCGCCCTTCCAATGTCTCCGCGTGCTCCACCGCTCGCAAACAGTCATAAGCAAGCCTGCATACTAGGCAAGGATGGTGGATAGATTCCCGTGGTTCTGAAGCCATTTACAGTGTTTTCAGGGCTTGTCACCACCGCGTTACGATACGCATGGCACGCTATCTCGATGGTATCCGATTTAGCAATAGTACAGTCCGAACTGTGCAGCATTTTGGCTAGTAAAGTAGATTTCACCATGCTCGTGAAAGGCTTGAAAACAGCCACGTCAAGAGGCTGATAGAGGTGAGTGGCATTTGGAGGGAGATCGACGAGCAAACTTCGTCTGTGTGATCAAACGGAAACTTCACCTAAAATAAATCTACCCGTCAAATTGATTAATACAAAATCCTTGCTAATAATTAAAATAATTCTAATAAAAATAAAAGCACTTACCGATTTCGACATGAGTCGAACTGTTGTCCAGGACCAGCACCACCAGACGCTTCACGTTGTTGTTTGTCAAATACGAGTCAAACGTCTTCATCTAGAGCTTAAATATACCGGTATTATTTCAAGCGTGTAGGTTCCCCCTCGGCGCAGCGTTGTAGACTCCACGTCCTCGTCGTCTGCCCCCATGGCCTTGTGTCTGTGAAATGAAAGGGTTGCGGTTGGCCAGAATCGAATACCCTTTAAAAATAATAAGTCTGAAAAATGTGGATTTTATTCAGTTGGTTGTTGAAAAGCGTGCACTGAACTGACTGACATGAGATCAACCAATCCAATTGCGCAATTTTGATTTTAAGCATAACAATTGGCAGAAATTCTGCATCGTGCTCGCAATTGGCATCACGCACTCAACTGGCAAATTACGTTAAGCGATATCCGAAGGCGGCATCGTTTTTGTATTACGAAGTATTTACTTTTTTAATAATGCATGTTGCTTTAATATTTGAGTACTAAACCGAGAGAGCTACTTATTCTCAAATGAAATAGCCCCTAAAGACGCTTCCTATGCTGCAAGGTGCTAAGCGTGCACGTATGAATGCGTGTTTTGGAGGCCATACTATAATATACGTATACAATGTACTTAATAGTTTATGCAATGTACTGTACAATGACTTAAATAGCTACAACTATTTTGTTGTAGATATATTATCTAATTATCTGAGAGTGAGGTAACTACTAAGCTGCCAAATCGTAGTACATGTACAACAGAAGAGCTGGCCGTAACAGCTGGCCGTAAGAACAACGCTGCTAATAAACGTTGTCACTTGATTTACAAAGATAGAAAGTTTTAGATTGAATAAAACGAGCTCATGTGTGATACTGCTGTAAGCCATTGTTCTCTAAGAATTGTTTAGACAGCAAAATCCGATACAGCTTAACTGGCGGACGTGTCAGCGACATAGGCGAAGGATAAAGTTTTAAATGGAGCGGATAGACAACAGCACAACATGAGAGCTGGTTAATTAGACACCATACCAAAACGTTAAACTTAGGGTATAGCTAATAGTTAAACCATTTTGGCATCTTAATTAGCCTATCAAATAAAAAAACGCTGCCGCAATCGTCTTGCGACGCATTATCCTAAAAGTGCAAAACCGCGAGCGTTAGCACATCCGTGCTATTTTGAAGCATGTTTTGCAACTTGTGTGAAAACCGCACCGTCAAATAATAAAAATTGACTGAGTTATGGGCACTCGACGAGGTGGCCGTAAAATTGTGTCCAGGAGTGTAGTAGCCAACATTAATAAAGAGACTGTGTCAAGATCACCAGAATAATAATTTTTAAGCATGGTAAGTGTGATGCTACGCATTTTGTAGAAATAATTGCACGGCTTACTTTGATAGGGGTTCATATTTTTTGAAATAATTATCCCGCCGAAGCGAAGCGGAGGCGGCAAGGCTCAAGCTAAACCTAAACTACCGCCGCTACGCTGCGGCGCTCGGCTAGTCACCTATTAAGTAGCGCAAGGAAGTCGTCCCTACCCGCTTCTGATCGGTTTTAAGAGTATATGAATCCCACAAAACACACAGCGTTGCGCGTTAATTAAACTTCGTAGATCTCAACCGTCGGTTCACATCCGACGTGCAGAGTCGCGGATCGTGAAGGCGTAGGTCTACTGTACTGCAATTCCTACAAGTACTGCACTTTTGAAGCATGCGGGCAAACTACGGTAAGTCGAGGAGCTTGTGACTGGTATCAGCTGAAGAATCTGTCTCGCTAAATTTCTTCCTGGTGGTGGTAACCAGACACCTGGCAGCGCGCCACATCAGTGAATCACTTCAATGACCTTCTTCATGAGAGACGGCGACTTGAGAAATTTTCGCTTGGGCGATGCTGCATCCGCACCCTCCGAAGGTTCAAACAGCTCCCCAACTCGCCCATTGCGTGGCTGTACTTGATGGTACTCGGATCGATAGCAGGGGTTTACGGGTAAGGCATTTCGACTGTGTACTATTAGCACTAACACAAAATGCTTTTATATTCTCGTAAAGACTTCTGTTTGATGATTGGGTTCGTTCATTCCTGAGATTTCGACGGTTCCTTATCGAGCAAGTTGGTCCCTTTTCCTATGGCGCCTTTGGCATTTGGGTCCTCTGGTGTGTGGCTTTTGGGGCGTTTTCAACTTGTTGTGGGCACTTTATCACTCCAATGTCGGATGGATCTGGTATCCCCACAATGCGTGGGCTCTTCGCTGGAGTGTTTCAGAATCCCGATGATCTGCTTTCATTCCGCACACTTGTCGCTAAAACGTTTGGTACATTGATTAGCTCGAGCTCTGGCCTGTCAGTGGGGCGTGGAGGCCCATTCACCCAGATCATGGCCATGATCGGGTATCTGATAAGTAAAATCCCGTTATTTCGACGTGCAAACTTCGGCCAAGCCAACTACAACTTCATCCGTGCAGGTATGGATTTTTAATCGTATGCAGAAATGCATAAAATAATGACGAAATAATGTTACTCGTTTGTAGCGGTGGCAGCTGGTGTCACGTCCGGCTTTGGTTCACCCGTGGGCGCAGTTCTCTTCTCTATTGAAGCTACTGCCAAGCACTACGAGATCAAATGCTTGTGGGAGGGAATAATTTGCTCTTCCTTTGCTCTACTGGTCTTTCGCATTGCCCCCGTTCTAAAAAGTGAGCTTTTGTTCGAGAAAACAAATTTTACCGGCTTTGAGCTGGACGTGGAGATGTTCGCATTTGTCTTTTTAGGTGCTCTCAGCGGGGTGGGTGAGAAGTATCTGCCATATATTACTTGTTTGTGCGTACACCTGACACTCGTGGATAGCTTGCGGCAGGTTTGTACTGCAAGTTAATGGTCGGGCTGCGATTCATACAGCTGACAGTTTTCACGAAACTGGGACTCACAAAGCCGTCTCTGAAGCGCCGACTCATTCACGTGGTCTCAATTTGTTTGATCACAGCAACGATCACTTTTTCACTTGGAATTTTGAGAATCTCGGATCGCCTCATGGTGAACGAGTTGTTTCGCGACCAAAGTCTGAGTTTCCCGCAGTGGGGACACATCTCGGATTTCCCACAGACAGCGTTGATGGTCTATATCATGATGAAGTTTACCATAACTCTGCTGCCATGTGGAGCTCCGATCTCCTGCGGCGTCTTCGGACCCATTTTCACTACGGGTGCAGCTATCGGAAGGCTATATGGGGAGATCCTTTCGCGGTATTGGACCCCGGCCCAAAGCCCCGCAACGTATGCCGTCGTCGGCGCTGCAGGATTTGCTGGTTCAGTAACGCAGACTGTATCTACAGCTGTAATTGTATTCGAGCTTACAGGACAACTTAGTCACATGCTACCAGTCATGATTTCATGTATCGTGGCTTACTTCGTCAGCAGTATGATCACACCTTCGTTCTATGATATTGTGGCTGAGTGGGCTGGGATGACGTCGGTGTGTTACGATGTCAACGAGTACATTCTCGGTCGGAAGCTTGCAAAAGATCACATGGGTCCAGTCCCTGTTGTCTTCACTCGAGAAACCACTTACGATGAAGCCATTCAAGCTCTGGTACGTCCACGTTTTAGTACAGTTCTTGAAGGATGACTGACAGCTATCTTGATGATCATAGAGCACGCACAAGCATGAAGGATACTTCCCTCTTTGCGACAGCGAGGACAACAGACTGCTACTGGTCTAATCACAACTAATGCGTTAGAAAGGGTCTGGGATGACTGCTAATGTTGTTTGTGTACGTACTTGCAGGGATGTATTCGTCGATATGACCTGGAAGTTGGAATAGCACGGTTCATTGCTGTCAACCGTCCGCGGGTAAGGAAGTGTTGCGTGATGACTTACGTAAAAAAAAATACTGATCGGATCGAGTGCGGGTTTTATAGATGACCAAGACGAAGAACCGAAAGGTGTCGAAACAAATTGAGCACCTGGTGTCGAAAGTTCTAGACATTGACAAGCGGAAAGTCATGGCAGTGGAAGATTTGTCACTGTTAAACTCCGAGGAGAAGAATGCATCGTCGACAGCAAATATGGTGAAGTGAAAAAATGACGGTTGTTGGGAGAAAAAACTCACATTTTCTTGCCTGGTGTGGTTGTTACAGCTCGAACTAGGACCCCCATTTAGCCCCTTTGAGTTCACTTCGATCCCTGTACAAAGCTACATCCCTCAGGTACCAGATGAAATACACTTGCATGCATCACAAACATGGTTCTTCTCTAACAACACACCTTGCACAGGTCGGGGAGGAAGTAAACCTTCACATCGTTCACAAAGTGGCCTCCATGTCAAACTGGACCCAGGTGTACGTTGTTTCTCTCGGAAGACTGCTCGGTGTCATCCAGCTCGACGCTTCTCTTCTATTGCTACGTAGGGAATCTAGCCTTGTCCGGCCGACCTAGGACGTTAGACAAATACTACTTTAAGAGCCTTGCATTTCTGAGAATCCGAGAGCATTTTGGGAGTTAAATCGATAAAAATACTCGACTCGCGTTCACTTCTTCGACCGTCGACCATGCAGCGCAACGAAGTGGATGCATCTATGACCTCAGTTGGCCTCGGCACTCCCGATGTGTGGCAGAAATTGGGTCAGGAACTGGAAGGCAAAACGCAACTGGAGCAGCCGCGAGTGTCCAAGAAAGTTTTGGTAAAGGCTCTACGTATGCAGACAGAAGCCATGCGCTACATGGCTGACGAGTTCGACCGATTGCGGGACAAAATGGCGGAGATGGAGCGAGAAGCTCGCAACACGGCGAAGCACGTGGAACGAGTCAACTCGAAGCTCATTACCGTTCAGGGTCAAGTTGAGGACATGAACACTAAAGTGTACGAGATCGAAGTGGTGCAGACTAAACAGGCCGAACAACTCAAGGAGATCGACGAAGTTGCAGTCCAAGTACGAGCCACTCGCGAGGAAGTTGAGCACGTCGCAAAGAGTGTCGAGAAGGCCAATTTCGTTCACAACGAGTTCGTCCAGCAGACCGAGCACAAGCTTCATGTCATTCGAGAAGACCACGAAGTGACCAAAAAATTCGCCATGAAGATCGAAGACCGTCTGAATGAAGAGCAGAAGGAATTGTTCCTGGACTCGGACCACATTCTTCACAACAAATTGTCGCTAGCGATGTGGATGGAGGCCGTTGAGAAGGACAACAAACGGAAGGATGAAGCTCTGCGTGACTGCACCGACAAGATGATCAAACAAGGGCGCAATGTGCAGGATATGATGCTCGAGACTCGTCGTACTTTGGACGACAACACTTGTGCCGTGGAAGACGTACAGCGTTTGTTACTGGACAAAGCCGATCGCACGCGGGTGGACGAGATCATTGAGTCCAAGTACGAGGAGATCTGCAATCAACTGGACAAGGCGCTGGCTTCGGTTCTGGGTGAAGAGGATGAATTCAAACGAGCCAGTCAGGAGCTCCAGCAACTTGTGACGCATCTGAGCGAGAGTAAAGCAGACAAGAAGGATCTTCTCGAAGTCAAGGAGCAAGTGCTCTACGACTCGCGTGTCCGTCAACAAGTGGAGAATCTACGCTCCTTCATCGACATCAAGATGAACCGGGACGACGTCTTCTCGGCACTCAAGACAAAGGCGGACAAGGACGAGATGCTCGCTCTACTCAAGAACCTCTCGGACAGTATGAACGCGTCCATCGTGCAAGCTCAAAAGTCTCTCAACTATGCAGACAGCGCCTTCCTCACTGGAAAACAGGCCGGACATCACCATGGAGGAGGCGCGTCCAACAGCGCACAAAAGCGAGCAGGGATGTTGCCTAGTCTGGATCGAGAAAAGTGTTTGTCCTGCAATAGTCAACTGCGAGATCCATCGACTATCCCCAGCGGGCCGATCACCAACAAAAACCCCTTCCAGATGGCTCCAGTCTATGGCGGCGGCTTCCATCTCCCGCCAGGTGCCGGGTCTATCGAGAAGAATGCCATGCGCAATCGATCCAGTAACCTCAGCAACAACCACGTAGCCAGTGTCCCGTATCTGTCTCCACGAACTGTTGCCAACATGGCATCGTCGGGACAGCTAGCGGAGAGCGCAAGTGAAGGGTAAGAGGACTCTCCATGATCCAGACTGGCCAACATCTCACCTTTGTTTATTTTTCTTCAGGTTCCTCGTTGGAGTGGATGGTCGTGTGTACCAAGCAGACCCAGAGGTAGTAGCTCAAGTCCAAACACGACCAAACCTTAAACTTCCTCAGGCTGTAGGTTCCAGAAGAGCGCCCCCTGTACACGACGAAGCTGACTGACGATAGTACAGTACTAAATGTTAGTATACCCTTACACGCTGTTGAGAAGCCTCATTGTTGAACGATGTGCGTGTTGAAAAGGAGCGGTGTCCCTTTCTAGAACATATCCATCTCGTCCAGCAGCATTCCTTCTCCTTCCATCTTCATCGAGACCGACAGATCGCCGTCTAGAGCCGCGATGCCATTGCAGTCTTCGCCATTAGCACCTGCTGCGACAGCAGACGACGGGCCGTTCTTCGCTTGCACAGTACGCTTCAACGCATAGTACGTCAGCAGAGGGATCGAGTGGCAAACACTCGCCAGCTTCTGCAGTGTAGCCGCGTTTTCCAGAGGGAGCGAGGGAGTTGCCTCGGTCTGGTATTTGACGCTAAGTTCCAGCGAACAATCCGGTTTAGTGTTCACCTCGATCAGCACTTGCTTGTCGGCGCCCAAAAGGTCCCCCGTGTTCATGGTAATGCGCTCTGCTGCCGCTACATCTACCTTGATGCGAGCTGCAGTCAGGGCACAAAAGATCAGTCCCGTGCATTCTTAGCGGCGGCACAAAAAGTGAAGATCGTACCATTGACAGCTTCGTCATTATCCGCAGCAATACGTTGACCAAACGTGTTACTTCGTGAGCAGAAAGCAGACAGCAGCAACGCGTGGAAGAACAAACTTCTCCCGCAGACTTGAAGAACGTTTGTCAGCGTCTCCATCGAAGCGTTCATCAGCTGAAAAAAAGTTGATACACAAAAACTATTAGTCGTAAGAAGAAGCCTCCGGTCTCGCACTGTAATCCTGTACCGGAATGGGGAACGAGTGCAGCTTAAGACCTCCAGAAATCTCTTTCGTTGTCAGCGTGTACTCCTGGCGCATCGCTAGAGAAGACCGAGACGGAAACACGGAGCATATGCTGCGGTCCCGAGCGAAATGCAGTCGAGGGAGAATCGGCTTCTTCCCGTCCGGCGTCGTCCAGCTCACAAACTCGTTAAAGAGCTTCTCGTCTTCATGCACATCTTTCTGCGCTGTCGCAGCCGTCTTCGCGTGCTTTTGCATGGCTACAAGCGCCAACTTGCGAGCCTGTTGACCGACCATGACGAGAGGAGCCTCCCCAACGACGTGCAGCGCCACTTGATCTCGCCATTCAATGAAACTAATACTGCCAGTCCATTCGCCATTAGCCAGCGGAGACAGAACATCGGTCGACGAGGTTTTGCTCGGGTCATCGTGGTCGTCGTTGCTTCCATCCATGGCGACTGAGTCTGTAGCGCCTGTAGTAGCCCCCGAGGCACCAGCTGCAGATGTAGCAGAGGCTTGCGCTTCATCAAGCTTTACACGCTTTCGAGGCGGTTCAATCACGGGGATGCAAGCATTCGGGTCCTTGAACATGACTCGAACTCCTTCCACTGCGCGCTTTGCCGACCAGTATTTCTGCAGCCAGACAAGCAACTCAGTCAATGCCACTCCTGGAAGCTGCTGGGGCGTGTCCCTTCTTACCTGTTGACTGCACGCCTCTGTGACCTTGGTGTAAAGCTCCATCTCAAGCTGTTCAAAGTTCACTAAAAGTAGACCACATAAGTCCTCCCCCTCCCTCCTTAAACAACACAAACACAGACACTGCCACTTACTCTCTGGGAACTTGACGGCCAGCTCGGCACGGTTGATCAGTCGGTGAAGTTTTTCCTACAGAACATGAGCACACACACACACACGCACAAAATCTTACAATAACGAATCGTTCTCTTCATTACGAGCTTCATGACTTGATACCGTAAAGTTGGTGCTGTCTCCATTTGCCAGCAGCTTAAGAGACGCCAGCAAATCTTCGTCTCGGTCTGGGAACTGACTAGTCTGATCTACAATGTTACGGTAACATTTCGTGTTAGATCCCCAAGTTTCATCAGACGCCAGTGTCATTTTTTGCACCTTTCTCCACCGTCGTCAGCGACGCCGACTCCACTGCACCCTGTTCGCCGCACCCATTCATTAGCTTCTTTTCCCTCCCTCTCTCTTAATAACCAACTCTGTACCTCCCCTCCCGACAGCACAATGTCCAGCACGAAAGTGTCGCAGTAAACCGAGAGCGAAGACTCATTGGGCTTTAGGATCTGCAGCTTGACTAGTGGGCGACTGAGGTTGGACACGATCTTGGTGACCTCAAACATGATCTTGTACGCGCCCACGCGGCCCTCGAGCTCGGCGCCTCGTAGTCCCGCTTCCAGGTCCAGTTTACTCACACTCTCGGACAGAATTGTCCTCACAGTAGCCACATGGGCCTCGAATCGCTTGACGTCTTTTCGTAGCTGCACGAACTGCTGGTTTCGCGCGTACCAATCCTTGTGCTGTTTGAGGGTCTCGAAGAGGTAATTGAGGCCAAAGCGCCACGAATTCTTCTCCGTCTGCAGCCGCGTCTTCTGCTGCGTCACTGCCAGATAGTTTGTACGCATAGAATTAGTGCATGCACCACTCATATTAAGCGATCATGTACTCAAACTATTTCCCCGCACAATGCTGCTGGAAGGCGGCGCTGTCGTTGCGCAGGTTGTCCGGTAGCATCCCGTCAAGACACGAGCGCAGACTGCTGGCAACAGAGTGGAGGTGTGGAGAGTTCTTGTTAGGCGCAATAGCGGTCCCAGCCGCTGTCCCCATACCCGCAGGCGTCGGCGTCGGCGTCGACATAACTCGGAGTTTGCTAGTTATAAACAAAAATTAGTTTTTGACCAATCCACGTCGCCGGATTCTGCGCGGATATCACCGCAGGCCATCGATCATGTCAATAAATGCGAGGAATTAACTTTAGCAAGTAGGTTGGATTCAAAATGGAAAAAATAAGTTGGTGCGTTTTTTCAATAAGTAGACTGACACCAAAAATATACCTACATGTGCATAACAAATTACCAAATTTAGAATGACCGTTTAAAATTTAAGAACATATATCAAAGTCTTACAAGTAATATCGTACGACCTTACAAGTAATATCGTACGACCCGCAGAAGGCCACACAGGTCCAATCGTACGATCATACTTATTATTGCTACTGCTAGTACTACCTAGTATTTCCAGTGGAACTCATACCCAGGAAACATTCTCCACTTGATCGGGCTAAAAGAAGACATGACCGTTCTACAGCCAGTCCGTTTCGCAGCTTCTCCTGGCTAATCAAAACTGATTAGCCAGGAGAAGCTGAAGCGAGGATGAAAACCGGGGCCTCGGTCGAAGCACAAACGCAAATCACACAGACTGGGATCCGCAGTAACACCTACAGTTGCAATGACACAGTAGGTCTCGAGCGCCGTACCCAAAGAGAGACTAAAGTTAAAGTGTGCGACTCGACTTTTGGTCGAAATCGTACGATCAATAACCGAGCAAGATCGTACGACCTAAAAAAATTTTAGAAACCAAAAAAATATAAACCTGTTCGATTAATTTTCAGAATCTATGTATGTCTATTCAGTTAATATATGTGGTGCTTTCAGATTAAATGTCAAAATAATTTGTATGGGTACATGTATAATTTCTTATAAAATGAAAAATTGAAATCTGCTATTCTATAAAAAAAAAGGTTAGGAAATTCACATCTGAATAACCCCACGGCATTGCGGGCACAGAGGTGTGTTCTGCTCGCTGAGTGCATGGGCGACAAGTGCTGACATACATTCTCTGCATGTAGCATGTAGGCAATTTGGCGGGGTTACCGGATTCTCAAGGACACCCAAGCAAATGGGGCAGTTGTTGGAGGTGGCAGTATCCTCGTCTCTGCGGGGCATGTCATCGTCGTCATCAGATATTTCGATGATGACAGGAGCCGCAGGCTGCACACGCCGCGATATTCTTGTTGCTGGGGGTTCTTCAAATGGTGGAGGGGGGGGGCTCTGTTGGTGTCGACCCTCTTAATTCTACGACAGTAATTGGTACTGCTGCTGCTGAAACTGAGGTCGTAGAGCCCTGGATGGGTGGAGAAGGACTAGGATCTTGACGCTGGACCAACCGCAGCGCAAGCTGCTCGAGAGCCCCACGCCGAGCTCTTGAAAATCGACGGTCGTAAGCAAGCTTGGCTACTCGGGCTTCCTGAAGTTGGCGGGTCATGCTGCTCCAGGCAGACTTGGCGACCGACATGCTTTCTGAGGCTATGTGCTGACAAAACTCGACCGCAAACAGGGCAAGCGACTCGCTCGGACATCGTAGATAGATTAATAAATCTACTTACATCGATAACTTTTTGTTGTGTTGCTGCATTGTCTTGTAAAACGTCTTAATATCTGATCTAACCCTCAACTTCTTATTCCTAATTATACCTACTTACAAGTAGGTTATTCAATCTACTTACTGATTCCATTTTGGATCCAACCTACTTGCTAAAGTTAATTCCTCCCCTGTGGGCGGTGACCTATCTACGATTACACGACAAAGTGCTGAGAGCAACCTACGACGCTCTTGGGTTGCTGGGTAATTTACCATGGTTTATATTACGTAAAAAATCACAAGAGCCGAATTTTTAAATGTTGTGATAACTATGTTCGAGTAAGTACGAATTTCTTACTTTGTTCGAGTAAGTACGGATCCCACGGTCCCCCCGTTTTAAAGTAAAGAAAGCGGGAGAAAGCAGCAGTGGAGGCCGCAGCCCCGGCGAGGATGTCGACAAAGGGAGCGCCAGCGCAAGGGGATGACGGCTCTACAGATGGAGGTACGGGTTCAAGTCATCGTGGTACTCGTGCTGCTTCCGCCACCTGACGGTATTTTGTTTGTTTATAGAACGTTGTGCTGGTTTGCGATACCACAAGCCAGTCGACTACGTCCGCGCTGCTCAAGGGTTCACCACGGACCCTGTGGACGATGATATGTATATCGATGACCCGTCAGCCACCCAAGCGGATGTGATGAATGAAGATGCTGACATGGAGGGTCGAATGAACGATGACGAGATCTACGACGCAGGTGCAGACGCCGCAGACGAAGAAGCTGCAGAGGAAACGCCGCAGACGTAGACGCCGCAGACGGAGACACCGCAGACGGAGAAGCCGCTAGCGCCGACGCCACAGCAGACGCATATGTAGCGACAAAGGCCGCACACGGAGATGCCGCTAGCGCAGACGGCGTACACTCACGATTTACGACACCTGTCGAAACAAGACCTGCTAGTCAAGTCAGCCTCGGTATGTTGCTTGTTGTGTTGCTTCATTGTGTTGCTTTGTGTGTTGTTTTGTAATGTTGCTAACTTTTTGTGGCTGTTGATATTAAAGATGCGGTTCGCCCGTTTGTGACAATCACCCGACAGAACGCCGAAGCTGAAACTGCTACAAGCAATGCCAGAACAAGTTGTCAGTCAACTGCGGGGTCGAAGTCAAAACCGCAAAAGAAAAAAGTCTCGAACGGAGTACGAAGACTCGGATTGTGATGACGCAGTAACAGCTGCGTTTCCACCCAAGCGCTCCAAGTTTAATGATGGGGCACCACTTCTCCATGCTACTTCCTCTCAGACTGTGTCGGCGGGACGGCGTTTACCTCAACGAAAGACTAAAACGTGGGAAGAGCGAAAGAAGATGCTGAAAGCGCATAAGCCTGTGAATATCTTTGTGCCAGAGCTTCCAGTCAAAACATTCAACAACTGGACTGAGTTTCAGACAGCACTCGAAAGGTACGAGGCATAAATTTTTCTGCACTACCGTATTCGAAGCTCTGAAACTCGGGAGAAGCCCAACAGGTAATCTTCAAGTGGGGTTGACGAGTGGGATTGACGTGTGGTGTTTTAATAGGATATACTAACGCTTTTATTATTCTATTGTTGAT